AATGGATTTAACTCCAAGGTAAGAGACTCTTCAATAGAAGGCTTTGTAGGAGGAGTTGTCCTATTTTCAAGATCCAAGGATAATTTGCGGGGTGCATAGTTGTATGACCCCATTCCTTGCAAAGAGTTCACATATTCCATGAAGCTATCCAACTCGTCATCAACAAAGTTGAGCGAGATGACCTCCAACATATCACCACCAACATTGATTGTAGCACGTGTTTCATCAACAATAACATTGGTAACCAAGTCCACAAAAGAACACAACTCATTACTATTTGGTTGCCGCATGGACTTGCACACATGGAATACCACTTTTTCATCACCAACCCAGAAAGTAAGTTCTTCGGCTTTAACATCACAAAGAGCCTTCCCCATAGCAAGGAAAGGTCTCCCAAGAATTATTGGCACTGCATAATCAACCTCGCAATCTAGAATGACAAAATTTGACGGAAGAATGAATTTATCAGCACGAACCAAGACATCTTCAATCACACCCAAAGGCCCCTTCATGGTACGATCGTCCATTTGCAATCTCATAGAGGTGGGTCTTGGTTTCCCAATTCCTAAAGTCTTGAAAACCGAATAGGGCATCAAATTGATACTTGCCCCAAGATCACAAAGAGCTTTAGCAAACTCGGCACTTCCAATTTACAAGGTATCGTGAAAGCACCGAGATCCCCCAACATAGGATCCATTGAATGCACAATTGCATTCACTTGATGAGTGACTTTGATAGTTTCAAAATTCATTGACCACTCACGAGATCCTTCACAAACTTGGCATAACCGGGCATTTGTTCCGAAGCTTCAACTGATAGCACATTGATTGACAGACTCTTCATCATTTGAATGAACTTCTTGAATTGCTTCTCACCTTTTAATTGGCAAGTCTTTGAGGGTATGGAGGTGGAGGCTTAGGCAATGGTGCCTTAGCCTTTTGCACTACCGGTTCCGGTATGTCAATAATGTATTCCCTAGACGGGTTCACCTCTTAAGTCTCTTCAATACTATCATCAATATCAATCCGAAATTCATCATTAGGTTGCACCATATTGTTCGGGAGCTCCTCTTCTTGCACCATTTGTTCATCATCAACAAGTTACCTTTTACTTGATATGGGTGCATTCCCACCTCTTACACTTCTTGTACTAACGACCACGGCATGCCCCGTGTTGTTTCCACCCTTTGGGTTTACTACTGTGTCACTTGGTAGTGCCCCCTTAGGACGAGAATTTAGAGCTTGAGAGATTTTTCCCATTTGAACTTCTAAGTTGCGGATTGATGTGTTGTGTGAGGTAAGTTGGGTATCCGAATCGGCATTCTTTTTCATCATTTGCTTGAACATATTTTCAGTTTGCCCCATCTCATTGTTTGAAGAACTTGAACCATGGGAAGGATAAGGAGGTGGGTTGCTCGGTTGTTGGTACAGCGGGGGCCTTTGAAAACCTGACCCCCAGTTGCCTTGATTGTTGTTCCATCCGCCTTGATTATTACCCCCTAGTTTCCTTGGTTATTCTCACTCCAATTTTCTTGATTGTTGTTGTTATGCCAATTCACTTGATTGTTGTTTACGGTCCAATTACCTTGATTGTTAGAACTCCAATTGCCTTGATTGTTTTGAGGTTGCCATAGTTGTTGGTTTGGGCCTTGGAAATTATTTCTTTGCCCTTGAAAATTGTTCATATATTGCACCTCCTCTTCTTGTTCATTATAGGAATCATCTTGCTCAAAACCACTATCTTCTTGCACATAGTTCTCCACTCGATTTTGCACTTGTGGACCTTGGTCCTCCTCTTGTTCACCATCATGTTTACTACCTCCATGGCATTGACTTGCTTGGGATTTTGCACTTGATTTAGTTGGGCCTTTGCTAGATGCATCACGGTGGTTGTCAATTTGGCAATGGCTTGCCCATAATCTGGAAATTCTTTGTGAAGGTGGATCATGTTTGGATCACCTTGTGGAACATTGTCCCAGGATTGCCAAGCGGATGACATTTCCACCATCTCATCCAAAATCTCACACGCCTTCGCATAAGGTGTAGTAATGAAGTTCCCACTGGCAAGTTGATTCACTACACATTGGCTGGCTGTGTTAATCCCACGATAGAAAGTTTGTTGAATCATGTTCTTCGTCATATCGTTATTGGGAGATTCCTTAACCATTGTTCTATAGTGTTCCCATATCTCGTGTAGTGGTTAATTCGGCTCTTGCTTGAATGCTAAGATCTCATATCGGAGTGTAGCCATGTTCCCGGGAGAGAAGAACTTAGAAATAAACTTCTCCGCTAACTCATCCCAAGTATGAATGGAATGGTTTGGCAATCGTTCCAACCAATCTAAAGCTTTTCCCTATAGAGAGAAGGGAAAAAGCCTTAGCCTCAATGCATCCTCGGAGACATTCATTTGCTTGCTCCCCGAACAAGTGTCAACAAACCCCTTCAAATGTTTGTACGCATTCTGAGTTGGAGCACCGGTGAAGAAACCCCATTGCTCAAGCAAACAGAGCATCATATTGGTGATTTGGAAGTTGCTCGCCCTAACACGGGGAGGGAATATTGCACTTGCATATCCTCCATTGGGCAATATTCATTGTGGAGCCGCTCGTGGTAGAGGTGGGGGTGGAATGGGCACATTGTCATGAGGTACCCGGCCTCTCCGATTGGCTTTGGCTTATGAGGTACCTCTTCTACCTGTTCGTGCTTCGCATCCAAATTCCCCACAGGCAAATTTTTGAGTTCATTGTTCGCAGATTGTACGTACGATTTCTCACACAAGTTAGTAACACAGAAGGAAAAGAAGATAATTCAAAAACAAACCCAAATACTGTTTTAACTCTCCCGGCAACGGCGCCAAAAATTGATGATGTCCACAACACACCTCGATAAGAGATATGATACGGTCATATGCAATATAAATTACCTAACTATGAGTCGGGGTCTAATCCACAGAGAGTTATGAGGGGTGTTAGGAGTATATATTTGAAGCAAGCGAATGGACTACCTAAGATCGCACTTCTACAATAAAGTTTTGATTTCTACTTCTACTATTACTCTAATGATTGCAAGCTAAGGAAAATAGACTAGAGTTAACAGTTTTTGGTGTTTTTCAAAATAGTTTAAAAGCCTAGGGATGTGACCATAACCTATGTATTTTCCTAATGGGATAAAGACGTTAATGCTTATTTTATTTATTGGGGTGTATTAAAGCTCTTAACTCTACATTTAGCCACTTAATACCTCTCGGTCAGAGAATGATTTTGCCCAATTTGGCTTTCTCAAGTCCAAATGGGCATCAAACAAAGTATTTGATATGAGCTCAAGTCGGGTTCTTACTATCTCTAGTTTGAACTCTTTAATTAGGCTAATCAATCTCTCAATAAACCTAATTCCTTGTTAGCTAAGTTAACCTAGACTAGGTCCCTCTTTCTCAAGTAGAGACTAAGTCAAAAAGGCATGAATCAATGTTTGAAACTATTGATTCTAAAATTGAAGCATGAACTAAGCTAAACAATCAACACCCAAGCATAAACAAACACTAAATTAAATACCCATAAGGTTTACACACAAGGGTTGGGTCACAACCCTAGTAAGAATCTAGCTACTCATAATGAAATTGCATAAAATAAAAAAGAAAAGCTAATTAAACTCATAATGAAAGATTAAAATGATGAAATCTAATATTTAAACACTAAAATAATCTAAAACTTCTTAAAATGGTAAAAAGAAACGGCTACAGCAGCTATCAATTCTCAAACTTGACCTAAATTTGTGAAACTCGTCTATTTATACTGAGCCAAAAATTGCTGAAAAAAATGCCCCTCGGGAGGTTCTACGGCCGCACAATTCCATGTGGGGTCCGCAGATTTCCTCAGTTGGCAGGAAGGAAGATTCTGCAGCCACACATTTCTGGACTGCGGCTGCGAGGCAACTTCTGCGGCCGCACAATTCTCGTGCGGCCCGCGCTTCAGCAAAGCGTCAGGACTTGGTCTTCTGCATACTCTCTGAACTTGAAATTACTTGTCAGTGCAGACCCTATTTCGCGGCCGCACTATTCATGTGCGGTCCACACATTTGTCAAAAGCCTGTTGGATTCTTTAGCTTGGGTTGGGGCCGCAGATAGAATTCTGCGGTCCACAATTTCTTCTGTGGCTGCAGTCAAAAATTGATGAAGTCCATAACACACCTCGATAAGAGATATGATACGGTCGTATGCAATATAAATTCCCCAACTATGAGTCAGGATCGAATACACAGAGAGTTATGAGGGGTGTTAGGAGTATATATTTGAATCAAGCGAATGGATTACCTAAGATTGCACTTCTACAATAAAGTTTTGATTTCTACTTCTACTATTACTCTAATGATTGCAAGCTTAGGAAAGTAGACTAGAGTTGAATGTTTTTGGTATTTTTCCAAATAGTTTAAAAGCCTAGTGATATGATCATAACCTAGGTTTTTGCCTAATGGGATAAAGACGTCAATACTTATTTTGTTGATTGGGGTGTATTATAGCTCTCAACTCTATATTACCCACTTAATACCTCTTGGTCAGAGAGTGAGTTTGCCCAATTTGGCTTTCTTAAGTCCAAATAGGTATCGAACAAGGTAGTTGATATGAGCTCAAGTCAGGTTTTTACTATCTCTAGTTTGAACCCTTTAATTAGGCTAATCAATCTCTCAATTAACCCAATTCCTTATTAGCCAAGTTAACCTAGACTAGGTCCCTCTTTCTCAAGTAGAGACTAAGTCAAAAAGGCATGAATCAATATTTGCAACCATTAATTCTAAAATTGAAACATGAAGTAAGCTGAATAATCAACACCCAATCATAAAACAAGCACTAAATTTAATATCCATAAGGTTTAGACACTAGGGTTGGGTTACAACCCTAGTAAGAATCTAGCTACTCATAATGAAAATCGCAGAAAATAAAAAAAAAGCTAATTAAACTCATAATGAAAGATTAAAATGATGAAATCTAATGTTTAAATACTAAAATAATCTAAAAATTCCTAAAATTGTAAAAAGAAATGGCTACAACAGCTTTGAATGCTCAAACTTGACCTAAATTTGTGAAACTCGTCTATTTATACTGGGCCAAAAATCGCCAACAAAAATGGCCCTCGGGAGGTTCTGCGGCCGCACAATTCCTTCAGTTGGCAGAAAGTAAGATTCTACAGCCGCACATTTCTGGACTGCGGCTGCAAGGCAACTTCTGCGTTCACATAATTCTTTATTCTCCTTTTGGGGCTTCAACTCTCACATAAAGTTCTTGTTTCGACAGTTCAAAAGTTGGAGAAGGTTTTTTACTAATAAACCGATATGTGTGGTCCGCACTTCAGCAAGGCGTCAGGACTTAGTCTTCTGCATACTCTCTGAACTTGGAATTACTTGTCAGTGCAGACCCTGTTTTGTAGCCGCTTAACTCATGTGCGGTCCGTACATTTGTCAAAAGCCTGTTGGATTCCTTAGCTTGAGTTGTAGCCGCAGGTGGAATTCTGCGGTCCGCAATTTCTTCTACAGATCGTACATTTTTGCTTCTGTACCCTTTATTTCCTTGTGCTTTGGAATACTCCTTTTTGAGTTGGATTTCATCACGGGAGACCAAATTTCCAGTATTCCTGTAATTTGCACGATTTTATTAGTTTTGGGAACACAATTCAATACTTTCGGGCTAAAGCAAAAGCAAAAAGGTATTAATAAGCAGTCTAAATCCACACTTATCATGGTGTCGTTGGTGTTCGATGTGGCGGGCCGTTCATGATGAGACGGGGAAGATGAAAGAGCTAGTTGTTAGTTTGGAGTCATTCCCTGATGTAAGTGTTTCAGTGATTCCTTAGAAAAGTTGGACGTTGCATTATGATCAGTTTTAAGATTTGGTAATATAGAATTGGAGATATAGGAGTTGGAGAGTAAACTTTGTAGACGAGGGTCTTTAGTACTGAAGGGGGAAGTCAGTTGTGAGCTTTGCTGCAGCGTAGTACTAAGAGTAGATTGGTAGGGGTGAAACTTTTAATGGGAGGTGCACATGAAGATGAATCATGGTGTTCCATAGTAGGGGATGCATCTGTGTGGGTAACAGGAGAAGTTTGTTTTTTGATTGGTTGGGGGAGAGAGGCTTGCAAAGAGTTAGCAGAAAAATCTGAAGAGATTTAGTGAGTAGAGTAGGCGTCTAAATTATTTGGTGAGGTGTCATGCATGGTAGTAGGTTGAGTGGTTACTTGGCCAGTTGTAGGACCTAATTGTTGACGCGGTGAGGTATTGTAATTTTCAGTATCCATGTTGGAAATAGTGTGTGGAGATGTAACTGTTTCTATATCTTATTTACATGTATCCATTATGTGGGCCCCTGAATGTAGTGGGCTGAGTATTTATCGATTGGTCTAAGAGAATGTGGTTTAATGTATGTTTGGGTTCAGATGGAAGTACTTGGACTGAATTGAAGATGTTGGGCTAATAAGCCCATCCCTATTAGAAATCAACGAGACATTATGGTCTCTTAAATAAGAAAATGGGTTGGCATTAACTATGTCGAGACTTGTATTATCTAGCTTGTGGGAACTACTGAAAGGGGCCCAATTGTGTCCAATAAGGTTAAAAGAATTACCCAGTTTTACGTGTGTAGCTGACGTGGTCGCCGCCTTAACTTGCAGTGCTACTGAACGCTGCTCAGGCGAAGGAAAGCATTGGTGTTCCGGCGACTAGCGTCTATTATGATGACCTTTAATTCTTGAAGTAGATTTTTTAGGAAAAGTGACAGTTTTCCATTCCTGTTCATTGGTATTCAGAATTTATTTTGATGAAGAGGGATCTGGAGTTATGGTTGGTATAGGAGATAAAGGGGGTGTGAGAGTGTACTGACAGTTCCAGGTTGCATGTCCAAATCGACCACATTTAGTGCAAAGTAGGTTCAATCCCTCAAACAATAGGACTTTTTTATGAATGCCGATGTGTATGTGAGTTTTGAGTGGTTTTTTCAGTGGTACTTCAATACAAATACGGGCATATCTGCCCCTTATAGTCGCAGAAGTACACGTATCAACTTTTAGTAGTTGTCCTAGTTTATTTCCCACTCTCTGAAGAATTTCTAAGGCCTCATTTGTTTTTTTTTAAAATTAAGACGTCTGAATCTAAATACACATCTGAATATCAAGATGTGTCTTAAGATTAAGATATCTGAATCTGAATACACATATGAATATATTAAGATGTGTATTAAGATCTGAATAGAAATAATTAAGACTGTTTGATTTTTAACATCTGAATGTATAAAATTTATCTTTATTTGAAAATTAATAAACATAAAATTCAAATGAAATACTAACTAATCTATATTCTATCAATAAAATATATAATTTTTTAAAATATGATAGTTGTTGGTGGTGATGGCTAACGGGTGAATGTCGACTAGTGGCGGTGGTTGGTGGTAGTTTTGGTTGATGATGGTGGTTCATGCTAGTAGCTAGTAGTGATTGGTAGTGGTGGCGATTATGATTGAGGATGGTGGGGGTGGGTGGTGATAGTTAATAATGGCAGGTGTTGATAATAGTTGTGACTGAGGAAGGTGGTGGGTGGGTGGTGGTAGGTTATAAGATGGGCAGTACCGGCTATGGTTGTTGATGGTGATGGGATGGTAAGTTGTGGTAATTGAGGTGGATGAGTGTTGACTGTGGGTGAGAATGATGGTGGTCGGAGTGGTGGGGATAGTGGGTGGTGATGGTTGGTATTGGTGGCGGCTATAATTGAGGATGATGGTGGCGTGGTGGTGGTGGTGGTGGTTGAGCGTGGTGGTGGTGGTGGTTGAGCATGGTGGTGGTGGTGGTGGCATGGTGGTAGTTGATAATGGTAGGTGGTGGCGGCAGTTAATAATAAATATGTGATAGCATCTTAATGAAATTAAGTCTCTGTTATAGATCATAATCATACAGACCTATTCAGACCCATTAAGTGGTTGTGAAGTAAAAAAAAACACACTTAATGATTAAGATCTGAATAATTAAGATTCAGACTTTAAAAACAAATGCACTTAACGTTTGAGATCTGAATGATTAAGATTCAGACCTCCATTAAGCATAAACAAATGAGGCCTAAGTCACAGAATTCAGTTGGAAGTTGTGGCAATCTTACCAAAAGTTCAGAGTACGCTAGTTGCGTATTGGAAGCAATAAACTTTGGTTCTCTCCTTCTGACGAAGAGATAGTGATATAGTATGAACCATGGGCCTCCGTGTAGAGCTGTGTGCATATTTTCTTCCACTTCAAATTTGATAAGGAAGAAATTAGAGCCAAGATCTATTAAAAGTAGATCCTCTGGAGGTTTCTATGGCACAATAATCTTATTCTTTAGTAATTAGTATCCAACTATTTTGCCAAAAACTTTAACAGTGATCGAGAATTTTTATTGGGAATAGAGCCTTGATTTGACCGACACCGAGAGGGGAATGAATGTACCAAAATTATTTGTATTGATGCTTTTATCTGTAAGATCGACTTCATCATGGATTGATTGATAGGCACTGGGGTAAGGGGATAGTTGTGTATTAGAGATCAGTGTTTGTAGGAAGGAGTTTGATTTAGATGTGGGATTAGGATTATCAATTTGCATGATATTGGTGTTTGGTGGATCTGTTTTTGGAGGGGAGTGGTCGTCGGCAAGAAGAGACCTTATGGTTTATGGTGCATTGAATGAGAGAGGTTGAAGTGGAAGACAGCGGGAAAAGGAAATTGAGAATTTGGAAAGTTAGAGAGAAGTAGGAGAGTCTCTCACTGCATTCTTTCTAGAGGACAAACTGCCAGGACTTCACAAATGGGGATGAGATTCATCTTTGAGATGCGAGTACAACACTAACCGTTTTGATCAATAGGAAATCTTGAAATTGCAGAGTAATTCTCTCGAAAAAAAGAAATAAGAAATGAATCTTCATCATTTTCATCACTGTTGATTTTGGACGTTATACACAAATTCAGTAATACTCCCTCCGGTCCACAATAAGCGACAAATTTGCTTTTTTAGTGTCCATTCATATAATCAAGAAAAAATTCAATTTTTTTTCTTCCAAAATTACCCTTATGTACGTATCCCTGAAAAGTCATTTACTCCTTACATTTGAAAAGAAAAGTAAGGGTAGTTTAGTCACACTAACTATTTTTGTCTAGAATTTAATATTTTCTTAATGGGTGTACCCAAAGCAAATTGGTCACTTATTGTGGACCGAAGGGAGTACTTCATTTAGTTTTTTGAGTTACTATATATATCAAAATTTCTCGTACTATTTTTCTGTTACACACCATGTTTTCTTACATGAAAGTACGCCATAAGTAAATTGATAAAAGCTCAGAAATGAGATATTACATCCCGTATTTTTGTACGTTAAAGTTTCGTCGTAAGTTAATCAACGTAAACTCGGGAATGAGATTATTTGGAAGTTATAAGTATTATGCTATTTCAAAACAAGTGATAAGTAAATTCATAAAGGAGAGAGGGTAAGCAAATCGCAGAAAATGAGTTACGTCGAAGTTTGGCAATTTGGGGATAAAATACGATTCAAGCTATAATACCCGATATTAATGGACTAGTGACATACGAGGTATCACATAACCATGATAGTAAGGTGTATAAAGTATGTTAAAAGTGAATGGTATTATAAGTAATTTGAGATAATTCTTAATTATGTGGGTAATTGGTTAATTATCGGTTAGTGGGAGATTATTAAGTTAATCAAGAGACTAGTGGTTAGTTAAAGAAAATTTTGGATAAGCTTGAGGTGCCTAACGTGGCAGCCCAAGCAATGGCTCATTAGTCATTTAAAATAGGTGTCACATTAAGGAATTTGGTGGCCAAATCATTCCTAAAGTGGGGCCCGCATCATAAGACATCTTAAAAACTTAAGAAGTTATTCAATAGTAATGTTAATCTTTAAAATTCAACTCAGTTATAAAACTTCTCTATCCTGGTAACGTGGGAACTTTACCATCTTCAACAAAATCAACATGATTTCATGGCAATTCAACAAAATTTCATAGCATCTTAAGCAACATGAGATCTTGCAATTATAAGGGACTGTGTAATCTTTCTCAAAAATATCATACGGATTTTTTCCTACTCCGATCTTGCCGTCATGTGTTTTTTCGCAATTAACGTGTGTTAGAGGGATTCTCGAGAGAATCGACCCAGGTATGTTAAGGCTATCCCTTCTTTCTTTTGGTATGATCTATACGACACAAACGAACGAGCAAATACACAATTTCCACAAATGACTCTATTCATAAAAATACTAGAGATGCTTATGTTCTTGATTCCCTATGTGTCATATTATTCTATCATCTGTTCATGGGTCTCAGAAAATACGTAAGTTGATAAAGTTTATTTCATGATATTAATCAAAGGCATAATGGTTTTATGACACTCCGAAAGATTTTATTGATGTACTTCTCATGCATTTCATTCATTTATATTGACCCATGACTAGATGGCGTTATATAAGCGTATATATATATATGGGATATGGAAAAAGGTTACGGCGTTATATACGCACCACCACCTGATCAGCTGGTATACGTAGATGATTTTTCCACAGTGGCCGAGATGATATGATGGGATGCCCTCAGAGGCTTGATGATGTTATGAATACATTTACCTATGCACGACATGACATTCATACACATATGCATGACACTGTAAGTATTTCATAATTTACAGAGTTATTCAGACTTACATGTCGAGTCTTTACTATATGTTTCTCTCATGTCTATTGCGTACTTATTTTCATTCCTTACATACTCGGTACATTATTTGTAGTGACATGCCTTTTGCTTGGGGACGCTGCGTTTCATGCCCGCAGGTTCAGATAGATAGGTTGAGAGTCCTCCAAGTAGGCTATCAGCTCAACGGAAGGTGTTGGTGCGCTCCATTTACTCCGGAATTGCTTATTTGGTCAGTATAATTAGGACATGCATTGATTGGTATGGCGGGGCCCAGTCCCGACCTTTGTGATACTTATGTACTTTTAGAGGCTTGTAGACAGATGTCATGTATACGGATACTTGTATGGGGCGATGTGCACAAATAGCCACTAACAGCTTATGTCTTTATTTTAAAGCCAGTGTTTTAAATGTCTTTAGTCTTTAGCCACTGGTTTAATAATTTTTAACTGCCCGGACGAAAATACCCTTCTGCTCATGTCCTTAATTTCAGGACTTCAGGACTACATGTCCTTAACTTTTGAACTTGAAACTCTAAGTTCAGGACTTCAAGACTACATGTCCTTAACTTTTTAACCTGTAACTCTAAGTTCAGGACTTCAGGACTACAAGTCCTTAACTTTTGAACTTGGAACTCTAAGTTCAGGACTTCAAGGTTACATGTCCTTAACTTTTGAACTTGGAACTCAAACTTCAAGACCAAACGTCTTTAACTTTTGAACTTGTAAGTCAAAGTTAAGGACCTATTGTCCTTAACTTTTGAACTTGCTTGTCCTTAACTTTTGAACGTGTAACTCTAAGTTAAGGATTGTCTGTCCTTAACTTTTGAATTTGTAAGTCAAAGTTAAGGACTTATTGTCCTTAACTTTTGAACTTGTAACTGTAAGTTAAGGACTGCTTGTCCTTAACTTTTGAATGTGTAACTGTAAGTTAAGGATTGTCTGTCCTTAACTTTTGAATTTGGAAATCAAAGTTAAGGACCTATTGTCCTTAAGTTTTGAACTTGTAACTGTAAGTTAATGACATATTGTCCTTAACTTTTGAACGTGTAACTGTAAGTTAAGGACTGTCTGTCCTTAACTTTTGAACTTGAAAATCAAAGTTAAGGACCTATTTAAGTTAGAAAAAATAGAAAATGAATAAGAACAAGCAAAGAACAAAGAATTGAGAAGTACCTCAAAAATAGCAGAAATAAAAGCAGGTGAATTTTTTTTTTTTTTTTGGAAGCTAAAACTGGTTTTTTTGAGGGTTTATGTTGGCTTGGTACTATAATAAGAACAATTCCCAAGAAGTGAAATGGGAAAGATAATGGATCTAAGTCATAGAGTCTTGATATTATTCTGACGCAAGTCTTGGAAATATTTGTTGTTCACACTAATAATTCTAATAGTAATAATAATTGCAGACATGCTGCAGAAATAGTAGTACAACAATGAAGAAAAGACTTTTTCTGGTTTCCTTTCTTATATGGCTACAACGAAAGTGAAATAAGAACGTAAACATTCATTTTGGATTATGGAGAAGGCACGCAGAGAGAGAAGCGAGGGTTTGGGAAGAAAAGTAAGGGAAGAAAGGGTAAAAATATCTTTTCACATTAATTTTAATAGGGCAGTGGCTATTTCTGCTCAACATTAGAATTGCTGGATAAAAAATAAATACCACCTTAAATAGTGGCTACCCCATGCCATTTCTACTACTTGTATGGCCTTGTCGGCCTATATTTTGAGTTTACAAATGATCATGTTGGCCTTATGGGCCCGTATGTCACGTATGTAAGTTTTTATATCAGGTTGGGTCGTCTATTCAAGTATTCTCTCATGTTTATTCTACTTATCTCACGATAGCCTCTACAGCTCATTTACCTATAATAGTATGATACAAGAGATACGTTATGTCGGTACTCGGTTGACTAAGCTACCGGGTGCCCGTCGCGGTCCATGGGTTTGGGTCGTGACATTTTAAAAAAAGAAGCATAAGTTAATGAACAAGATTTAAGAAATTAAATCCTGCCAGGAAAACACAAAAAAGAAAAAAATAAAAATAAATGAAGTAACCAGTCTTCTTGCTATTAAAATACACGAAAAAATGGATAAATTCTTCATTCATTATTTGAGATTTTTATTATTTCCAACCAACAACGAAAGAAAATTTCAGTAGAACAATTGTTTTTATTTTGTGTAGTCACATACTCCTAATTATGTTGCAAAATTTTTCTAATAGCTCCAGCTTGAGAATTGCTAATAGCCGCCTCCTCCACCTCGCAAATACAATGTCCATTCTGGCAAAAAGGAGTCGCGCCACGGCAAAAATCAAAGCAATCTTTAGATGTTTTGCATGGTTCACCTATGAATACCGAACCTTCCACACATTGTAAGCCTATAAACAAATAAAAGTCAAATTTTCATCATAAAGTACTACAAATTTTATTTTTAAGTAAGATAATACAAAAATATCAAACTTGGTATCCCATGGGTGGATCCAGGGGCCGAATGGGGTATTCAAACCCCTTCGCCGAAAAATTATACAGTATATATAGAGTAAAAATTTTTTTTTTTTTATGTATATATAATAGATGTTGAATTCCCTTGACTTCTTTGTATGTTTACCTTTTTATATTTGAATCCCCTTACTGAAATTCCTGGTTCCGGCACTATGACACTATAAACATAATCTTGCTGCCATTTGATAGATCATATCTTGAAAATAACCAAAATAAGGTTTTCATATGCCTTTGCCTAAAGAAGTCCTTGAAATCATAGATCTTTGCGGAATAATGTTGTGTGGACATGAATTTTTATTCAGAATCCAAACATTAAATACAAAATATTTTTGTGTTAAGCATACAAACATATATATCTGCAACTAGGATTTCCATTTAAATGAGAGTAGAGTGGGAGAAATACCTATTGTGATAAGCATCACAAAAACCATGGAGAGCAAATTGATGTATCTCTTTCTCATTGCCATGTTGAGAAATGTGCAACAAATTCGTGACCAGTTGAAACTTACAAAAATACCTATCCCTTTTTTTGCTATATATAGTTTGGAGGACAGTTCCAATTTAAATTTTGATAAAATCTGAAATGAGTTTAAGAAGATTTTCACGTAATTTATTTACGATAATATAGGAAGTAAGAAATCAATTTGGCTTCCATAGTAGGATACAGCCACTTTCCTAATAGTGATGAAGCAATATCAAATTACAGGTAACTATAATCAGTATATAACATATTAACTTACTAAAACAAAGAAGAGGAAAGAAACTTGCTGAGCTTGAGTTAACATACTCTGATTCATATGTATTAAAGGTGATACTCTTATTTAGCTGAACCTCTAACTGGATACAAATTTTTTGTCACGACCCGGATTCCCACCCTCGGGAGTCGTGATGGCGCCTATTAGTGCGAGCTAGGCAAGCCAATTAATTTCACAATTTACCCTTTTTACTCATTTTATATTCATTAGCAATTTTAATAATAATAATAATAACATTTAAACTGCGGAATTTAACATAAGCGGAAGAAGAAGTCATAAGCTATCTGAACACGAATATCTAATACAACTGTTTGAACCTCGACTACCCAGAACTGGTGTCACGGTATTACAGACGGTCTAAGAACACTACAAATAAAGGTCTGAAAGAAATAAATACAACACTGTCTCTGGAAATACATGAAAGAAACAGGAATAGTAGATGGAAGGAGACGCCAAGGCCTACGGACGCCTGCAGGACTACCTCGGGTCGCCTGATGAACAAGAATCAGCAATCCCACTGCGGTCCGAAGTCTACAACACTGGGGTCTGCACAAAAGAGTGCAGAATGTAGTATCAGCACAACCGACCCCATGTGCTGGTAAGTGCCTAGCCTAACCTCGGCGAAGTAGTGACGAGGCTAGGACCAGACTACCAAATAAACCCGTGCAGTTATATAATATACAGCGAAAAGTAAAGCAGGAATAAACAAGTAAAGGTGGGAGGGGGAAACATGCTGCGGGGGTATACCAGCATTAACAGTAAATCCAGAGTAATAGTATAAGGGCAGCTTAGTATTCACAGCAAAACAAAAGAAACTAATATCCAAGCTAATCACACTTGTATTAATAATTGTTGCGGCGCGCAACCCGATCCCAATATATAACAACACTGTTGCGGCTTGCAACTCGATCCACATATAATATTGTTGTTGCATGCAACGCGATCCACATATAATATTGTTGCGGCGTGCAACCCGATCCACATATAATATTATTGCGGCGTGCAACCCGATCCACATATAATATTGTTGCGGCGTGCAACCCGATCCACATATAATATTGTTGCGGCGTGCAACCCGATCCACATATAATATTGTTGCGGCGTGCAACCTGATCTACATATATATTTACTATTATAACAAGAGTCCCGACAAGGGATCGATAAGGTCTACACTATCCCGGCAAGGGATTCGACATCATAACCAAACTTGTTACAACATCTAACTACCTCAGCTATAATCAAACTTGTAGTGTTGAAGACCATAGAACTCAGTTCAAGGCTCAGCTTAGTGTTGTCTATGCACAGAATGATGGACACAAGAGGAAAAGTTTATGGAGGGATCTGAGGCAGATTAATATCTCAAGTCAGGAGGTATGGCTATTGAGTGGTGATTTTAATAATGTTCTATCATCAGAGGATAGAATACGATCTCCAGTTACTGCTGCTGAAGTAGCGGGATTAAAAGGGATAATAGATGATCTGCAACTTACCCCTCTGAGGGCAAAAGGGTGGCATTATACTTGGACAAATAAACAAGGAACTGGGAGTAGAGTGTATAGCAAGATAGACTGGGCACTAGGAAATTATCAGTGGATTCAACAATATGGGCATGTGGAAGCAGATTATATGAATCCATCTGTATCTGACCATTCCCCTATTCTTATAAAGTGTGGCAGCCAGAAACTACTACATCCTAAACCTTTCAAATTATACACAAATGTTATGGACCATCCACAGTTTCAAAATATAGTTCAGCAAACATGGCAAAAGAAGTATGAAGGAGTATCTATGCAGAAAATATGGTGCAAACTAAAGAGTCTAAAAGAGCAGCTTAAGGAGATTAATGCTTATATGGCTTCCTACAAACAAAAACTTGATCAGGCAAGAGAGAGATTGGATATTGTGCAAAACCAGATGAAGCAGAATCTTTTGGCACAGTCACTTATAAATGAAGAGAAAGAAGCAATAGGTGAAATAGAAAAATGGAGTAAAGTGGAGGAACAAGTACTGAGACAGAAATCAAAGGCAAGCTGGATTGAGTGTGGTGATGCTAATACTAAATAATTTCATGCACAATGGAAGATCAGGGCCAGCCAAAACAATATAACTACCATTTACACAGATACAGGGGTGAAATTAACAGAAGCTAGTCTTATTGAGAAGGAATTCATAACTATTTTTCAGTCATTAATGGGTGAGAGTGCTGGAGAACTACCATGTGCAAATACAACTGTAATAAAGGAAGGACCATGCTTAAATGTGGAGCAACAAAGAAAATTGATCCAAATGGTGACAATGGAAGAGATTGTTGAAGCAGTCAAGGACATGCCCAAAGACAAAGCACCAGGGATTGATGGTTTTCCTGTGGAATTTTTCTCAAAAAACTGGGAGGTTGTGAAAGAGGACATCTTTTAAGCTGTTAAAGAATTCTTCAGTACAAACAGATTACCTAGTGTGATTAACACAACAGCAATCACACTGGTGCCAAAAGTGAAAGTCCCAGCAACAGTAAAAGATTATAGGCCAATTGCTTGCTGTAATACCATGTATAAAATCATCTCTAAAATCATTACAAGGAGGATAAAAGGTGTGCCTGAAGGGCTGATTGATCAGGCACAATCAGCTTTCATTGAAGGAAGGAGTATAATGGATAATATCCTGCTAAGCCATGAATTATTCAAAGGGTATACTAGAAAAGGAGTCTCTCCCAGATGTGTGCTAAAAGTGGATCTAAGGAAAGCATATGACACTTTGGAATGGAATTTTCTGAAGCAGATACTTATAGATATTGGATTCCCCTGCAAATTTGTGCAATGGATAATGACTTGTGTTATTACAGTGTCATATTCATTGGTGCTTAATGGAGGACTGACTAAACCTTTTAAGGGGAAGAGAGAAATTAGACAAGGAGATCCAATGTCTCCTTACTTATTTGTTCTTGCTATGGAATATCTGAGTAGAGAGCTAAAACAGTTGCACAAGAATGGGAACTTTAACTACCATCCAGAGTGTAGAAAGCTGAACAGCACACATGTGTGATTTGCTGATGATTTGCTACTGTATTGTCAAGCTGATATGGAGTCCATAAGGATCCTAAATAATGCTTTTTACAGGTTCTCACAAGCTTCTGGTTTGCAGGCAAATGCAAGTAAAAGTGCTATCTATATGGCTGGGATAGATCAAAAGACTAGAGAGGAAATCCTACAAACATTGGGATTCAGTGAAGGCAAATTACCTTTCAAATACTTGGGCATCCCATTAGACTTAAAAAAGTTAACTATTGCTCAATACTTGCCACTGGTGGAAAAGATAACAACAAAAAATACTTGCTGGTCAGCAAAGTTTCTCTCCTATGCAGGAAGGTGTCAACTTATAAAGGCAGTTATCTTTGGAATACAGACATACTGGGCACATGTATTCATCATCCCAAAGAAGGTTCTGAAATTGATAGAAGCCATATGCAGAACATTCCTATGGACAGGTAATGCAACTATCTCAAAGAAGGCATTAGTAGCTTGGGAAAATGTATGTAAACCAGTGGCAGCTGGGGGACTCAATTTAATAGACATAAAGTCATGGAACAAAGCAACTATTACTAAGCACTTATGGGATCTAACTAGAAAGAAGGATTGTTTGTGGATTCGTTGGGTTCACAGCTACTATATAAAGAAGAGAGACCCGGACACAATGCCTATCCCTAAGGCAGCAGTCTGGGTAATTAGGAAGATAATTGATAGTAGGGAAGAGATTATGGGGCAGTAGCAACTTCAAGGGACCTTGCATGATAGATTAAAGAGTCTATGCAAGAATGGGAAACATCAAATTAAACAGAGGTACCTGAAGATGATACCAGACTGTTGCAAAGTGGAATGGAAGGGCTTAATGTTGCACACAAGTATACATCCAAGATACAGATTCATCTTGTGGCTTGCAGTACAAAAGAGGCTGGCAACAGTTGATAGATTGCTGAAAATTGGTATCCAAGTACCAGCAGACTGTATTTTTTGTAAGAATGGATCAGAAACCTTCAACCATTTATTTTTCAAGTGTCCAATTACAAACAGGTTGTGGGCTAAACTATGCCATTGGCTGGGACATAAAAGGAGCATAGGTGACTGGGAATGTGAGCTGGAATGGATAAACAAGAAAGCAAAGAGCAGAGCAGGTATCAATAGCATAACATGCTGTGTGTTTGCCATGACAGTTGCAATGATATGGAGAGAAAGGAACAAAGGTAGATTTGAGGATGGCAAGTATGATGAATATCAAATCTGCAAAGAAATAATCCTGCATATTCATGTTCGAGAGCAGAATAACAAGAAATGGAGAGGACTGATGCAGCAATTGGACCGGATTCCATGAAGAACACATATATAGATAGGAATGAATGTATAGAAGTGATACTAGTGTCTGTATTGGTAGATATAGTTGCTTGACACTTTGATATCAAAGGCATAGAATACTGATGTAAAGTAGTAGAAAGTCAAACTACTACTAGGAACAAATTGTAACATTTTTGAGTATCAATGAAACATAATTTTAACTCAAAACTTCTAACTACCTCAGCTATAACCAAACTTGTTCCAACACCTAACACAAAGAATCATCAACCTAAGCATCCATAATATTAAATAAGAACACAATGCAAGGAACCACAACTCAACAATAGCCCGGCAAGGGGGCAACATAATGATCTCTTCTCTTCCTCACTTTTACTTCACAATCCACTTCACAACTCGAGCCAATTCTCTAGAGGTTCACTTATCACTTATACTTTCACAATTCTTTATACAACTTGAGCCAACGCTCCTCAATTTCATAGGTAACAATTCTTTCCACAAATTTTACACAACAATAGAAACCTTCACCAAGGCATGAATAACACAACGAAGTCATGAAAATCACAATATAAGACTCACGGTCATGCTCGACACCAACGTATAGATACTCGTCACCATGCCTATACATCGTACTCAACAAGAAACAAATAGCAAATAGGACACAACTCCTAATGCCTCAAGCTAAGGTTAGACCAAATACTTACCTCGAACTTCCACGGCAGCTCAAGCCTCAAACACCGCTTTCCCTTTCGAATTTGGCTCCAAATCAATTGTTTCTATACATAATCGACTTCATAACATCAATAAACGCTAACAATCCAATTCCAATGCTTAATTATGGATTTCTAACCATTCTTCCAAAAAAGTCAAAAATTGACCCCGGGCCCGCTTGGTCAAAACACGAGGTTCGGACCAACACCAGATCACCCATTCACCCACGATATCGAATATATAATTAGTTCCAAAATTCGACCCCAAAACGAGGTCTAAATCACAAATAATCAAAAATCCCTAACTCTACCCAAATCCCTAATTTTCTACCCTTAATCTCATGTTTTAGGCCTAGAAATCTAGTGAGTGTTGATAAAAATGGAAGAAAACAAGTCAAAGATTACTGACCCAAGAGGTTATGGTGAATGAGTTCTTCAAAAATCGCCTAAGAGGTGTGGAGAAGATGAAGTTTGTGAAAAATAATGAAAATCCCGTAATGTGTTCTGTTTTTGAAACTTAAAATAATTGGGCAAAATTGGTCATCGCGTTCGCGATAAGCTCATCGCGTTCGCGATGAGTTAGGTCTGACAGACCTTCGCGTTCGCGGAAGATGGCTCGCGTTCGCGGAGCTTTGGCTCCTCAAGCCTACGCGTTCACGGGCCAGTGGCCGCGTTCGCGATGCACAAAATGGTGACCCCCTCCCCAGGCCTTTACCTTACGCGTTCGCAAGTGCATGGACGCGTTCGCGAAGGGTCTTCCCCCCTCAGCCTCGCGTTAGCGCCTCAAGCTTCGCGTTCGCAAAGAAGAAATCTGGCACCTGGGAGATTTGCCTTACGCGTTCGCGAGAGGGACACGCGAACGCGAAGAGTAAAATCCCTAGGCACTGAACAGTAAAACCTGCAACTTTTTGAGTTCCAAAAACCTTCCGAAACACACCCAAGCCCCCGGGGCTCAAAACCAAACATACGTACTAACTCAATAACATCATACGAACTTATCCGTGCGATCAAATCGCCAAAATAACCTTAATAACAACGAATTAAACCTCAAAATCAATGAAATATTTCAAAACTTCTTAAAGCATCAAACTTGCATTTACGGTCCGAATCACGTCAAACAGATTCCGTTTCTTACCAAACTTCACAGAATTATCTTAAATCACATATAAGACCTGTACAGGGCGCCGGAACCGAAATACGGGCCCGATACCAACATGTTCTAATCAAAATTTATTTCAAATTCCTTTAAACAATTTCAGAAAACAATTTTCTTTAAAAAATTCATTTCTCGGGCTTGGGACCTCGAATTCGATTCCGGGCATACGCCCAAGTCCCATATTTTCCTACGCACCCTCCGGGACGGTCACATCACGGGTCCGGGTCCGTTTACCCAAAAAATTGACCGAAGTCAAATTAATTCATTTTATAGTCAAAATTTATCATTTTTCACAGAATTTCACATATAGGCTTTCCGGCTACGCGCTCGGACTGCGCAGGCAAATCGAGGTGATGCTAAAAGAGGTTTTTAAGGCCTCGAAACGCAGAATTCAATTTAAAAACAAGTGATGACCTTTTACAATTTTAAGCAAGTTTCCAACTATTATCCAACTTTTTCTGAATAATGAAAGAAACTTGATTAGTAAAATTTCACGAACTAAATTTCATGTCTTTGGTGCTTTTGATGATTGTTAAGTTTTGAGAAAGGGTAGAGAAAAAAACTTAAAATAGTCCTTTAAGTTTATGCGTACAGTCAAAGTAGCCCCTAAATATATTTTGAAATACTAATAGCATTTTTTTTAGTTCTCTAACGACGCCAAAATAGTGCGTATTTTGTCCTTGGCTATTATTTTCGCCTATAACAAACAGGTTTCTACCCAAATTCCCTTCTTTTAAAGAACCAATATGTTCATATTTTTCTTAACTCTTACCGATCAAGAGGCACCACAATGGGTAGAGCTACATGTAATTACGGTGGTTTGATTGAATATAATCTCCTTTATCAGAAAAACTATATTGTGTAAATTAAAAAAGTATAATTCTTAAAATATAATTGAATCCCTTTAATTCGGTATAAAGAAAGCTGCAAATATAATGGCAAAGGTAGTTCAAAAAGTGCCTTGTGTCACATGCTCAAATCAAGATTTTTTGCATTCCTTATGCAATTCGGGGAGTTTGAACAGGTTTAAGAGGACTATAAACTCGCCGCCAAATTCCCCGTCAAGAGCCGCAACAAAACAATAAACCCAGTGGAATTCGGCATATGGGAGTTTGAGGTGGATAGCGTGTATGCAGACCTTATCCGTACCTTATAGAGGTGGATAGCGTGTATGCAGACCTTATCCGTACCTTATATAGATAAAGAAATTGTTTCCGATAAACCCCGGCTCATGCCATCATAATCGTAAAAACACCGATGAAGAATTAGTCTTTGATCAATATAGGAGGTCAATATATAACCTTTGGAAAGATACGAAAATTAGAAATTCAAGAGAAATCGTTTCTATCCACAAATTGAAATTGAAGAGAAATCTTCATCATTTTCACCCTGATTTTTGACGTCTATCCACAAATTCAATTACTTTTTCATTTAGTTTTTTGGATTATTATATCAAATTTTCACTTTCTATATGCAGAATCAAAAGAATGAGTTGATGAATTGTCATGTTGTCACGACGCGGAATTTTCACCTTCTGGACCGTGATGGCGCCTAACATTTCACTCGCTAGGCAAGTCAATGTTAGAGTAAATCGTATACCATTTTAAGCAATTCAAGTAAATTAAACTCATTTAAACTGAAATAAAACTGGAATGAAGTGCGAAAAGGTAAAATAACCAAAAATATCTAAGTACAATCTCGGATAAAGTGTCACAAGTGCACGAGCTACTAGAAGTTCTACAAATAGAGTCTGAAATAAATACAACTATTTCAAATGAAATGAACAGTAAATGAGGAAAAAGGAAGGGGACTTCAAGGTCTGCAGACACCACCAGATCTACCTCGAGTCTCCAAATGTGATATCCAAGGGAAAGACACGTGGAACCCAAGACGGGGATCGCCGAGGACCGGACACAGCTATTCCGCTTGTCACCGCAAAGAGTAACGCTCATAAAGATATATTAAATGCTTTGTGCCCGGTAGTATTTAATAAGGAATATTCTGCAGCATTAAGGACGACGGTCGTTACAAAGAATTTGGCATTTATGCTCACCGTTACATCTTCATCAATGACCCTCATAATTGACGTTAAAGGAGAGCACGGTCCTAGGACCTCCTTCCCTAGACACAACTCTAAATAGCAAGCCCAATTATCATTGTAAAGGACACAAATTTTCTGGCTAACTTACACTACATTCTATACAAATCTTAATATAACTCACTTTCTTGCTTTTGATCTTATCATCGTTGTGCCCGAAAATCTTGTTCCCGGAATTGCCATTTCTGCTATTTTATCTACATTCTGAGGCTAAGTATTGTATTATTCTTCAATTATTTTATTATTTCTGGATCAAATTAGTTCATTTATCTAAAAACCACGTATAAATTCAACTGTACCGTTTTACAGGTAAACAACAAGTGCACGAGCTACTAGAAGTTCTACAAATAGAGTCTGAAATAAATACAACTGTTTCGAATGAAATGAACAGTAAATGAGGAAAGAGAAAGGGGACTTCAAGGTCTGCGGACGCCAGCAGGTCTACCTCGAGTCTCCAAATGTGATAATCCGAGCTATTGCACCTCACGTATAGCTGGGACCAGTACCAAAATTTGCACAAGATGTGTAGAGTGTAGTATGAGTATAACCGACCCAATATATTCCGTAAGTATCGAGCCTAACCTCGATGAGATTATGACGAGGCTGTGACAGGGCACTCACGTAATTTAACCTGTTCAAAGGATATGTGCAACATAGTAACAAATAAAGATTTAATATGTACGATTGGGAGGGGACATGCGAAAGTGGAAAAAGATACTATAACTACAGCAGGAATGACGACATAAATCAGTCAAATAAATCAACAACCAATGAAAACGGATAAACATAATGAATAAAGACAGCATGACATCACCCATCGTGCTTTTACTCTCAACCTCACCATGAAACGATAAATATGGCACAGCATCACCCTTCGTGCTTTTATTCTCTTCTTCACTATGTATTAATCAATAAATGAAGCAATAAACGGCACGACATTACCCTTCATGCTTTTACCCTCTCCCTTACCATGTAATAATGAATATAAGAATTTGGGAGATAGATAATACAAGAATAAACCTTACGTCAATAATGGTTCCAAGATGCCAAACCTCAAC